TGTGTTCCCTGTCATGGTGCCTAGATAAATACTCAAATGCCATCCAGTCCAAATGACTGTGATGAGAGAGGCCCACTGTTTCTGGAGACCTTTGATTTTTATTTAAGGGGCCTCACTTGTTCTGCACCTTTACAGAGGGGTGAGTAGTGGCTGAGGGAATTTGAGGAAACCCAGACAGAATTCTCCTCCTAAAAGATTTTGCTAAACTGGCGCCTGGGACCGCAGGGCATTTGTCCAATTAAAACCCGGACACACAGCAATAACAAAGGCACTGGTCTCCTACTGCTAATGCCTAGGGATCAAACCCCAGCCTGCAGGAACTCACCCCTGCAGTCAGGACCAGGCCACTGGGTGGACCTGGGCTGGTGCTCCTAACTCTGGGGAGAGGGAGACTTCCTGTGGCTGCAGGCTAGAGGCTCCAGACTCCATGCCACCCACCTGAACAGGTTCACAACACAAGCTGGTCAGCGGAGCAGCGTCTTCGCCTGGGATCGCGGGGAGGCCTGGCCTGGCCTGTTCACCTCGTGATCAATCGCAGGGAAGCCTGGCTTGGCCTGTTCGCCCTGCCATCGATCGTGCGGGGAGGCCTGGCCTGGCTTGTTCGCCCCGCGATCTATTGCGGGGAGGCCTGGCCTGTTCACCCCTGATGGGCGCCAGGCTGGGGGGCATGGACGCCTGTGCCCGTAGGCCCGGAGTGGCCAGGGGCATTCTGGGGCCCCGGCCGTCCAGGGTCTATGCGCGGGCCTACAGGCTAGGAGCGGCCTGGGTCCCGAGGATGTTCCCGGGACCCAGGCCCCTCGGCGCCTGTGTATGCAAAGTAACCCACCATCTTTGTCGGGTTAATTTGCATACTCTCCTGATTGGCTGGTGAGCGTAGTGGAGGGACAGTCAATTTACATGTTTCTCTTTTAGTATATAGGATGGCCTTCCACACAGCAAACTGTAGCAAGAATGGCAAGTGGTCTAAATGGATCATGAGTGAAATATATCTTCTTTCTTAAAAAGAACTGAATTAATTTAAAAAATCTACTCAATTATTCCAGCTAGTACTTTGTTTTCTTTCACCTTCTTGATTTCAAACTTATAGTCACTTTGCTGATTGTACCCCTCCATTAGGAGAGAGTAGGTACGGAGAAAAAGGGGATTAAGGATAGCATTGGTGAAGAAAGGGCTGGTGGAAAAGTAATTTCTAACTATGGTTTAATCATACATACTTTATAATTGAAAGTTTTAAAACATGAGTTTTTTTTCTAATACTACATTGTTATGAAATATTAATAATTAAACTTACTTATTCCACATGAATAACACCTTTTTAAATATGGAAACCACCTTACAATGTCAACCTTACCTTCTCATATTAGTTCCGAGCCTGGGGAGGTTGGTAAAACTGCTGGGTTGGCCGAGTGGACCTCCTAGGCTGGCCATCACCTCCTCTACGGAACTCAAGAGTTTGGTCATAGGTTCCTTCTTCCTCCTATTTGCAAAGAATAGTGATGTAACATGTTCAAAATAGCTCCAAGTCTCCTAAGTTAAATGCATTTTATGGCCCCATTATGACATACCCTCTTTAGCTGCCTATGATTCACATCTGTCAACTTTTATAACAGAGGGAGGCAAGGAGAAGAAAAAGCCTCTTTTGGTCCTAGGTAACAGAAGAATACAATGTATAGTAGTAACATTAGAAGCAAGTTTAATTCTAGAAAGGAAACCATTTCTACAAAATATTATGATTACCTCATCAAATGACACAATATGGTGAAAACAAAGAAAACCAAGCATTGTAATAGATATTTTCTTGAATATTTGGGCGTCTAAATATTTCTAGGTGTTTAGCATGGAGAGGGACTTTAGGAAGATATGGAAAAAGGGTTGAAAAGCCACAGGACATTCACCAACTGTCCTCATCTGACAAAATCACCATTGCTAAAAGACTTTACATCCAGAGACAGGAAAAAATAATGGATTGGAATGAGAGAAATACAATTTACATATAAAGAAAGCTTCATGCAAGACATAGCAATCACCACAGTAAGACATAAACTATTTTCTTCTCATTTTCTTTCTTGCTGAGGGGGTAGATCAGCCAGCTTAAGGAATAGCACGGGAAATTAGGGTAAGCAGAAAGAATATAGTTAATCATAATATTTGAAAAGCACTTAGAAGCAACAGAAATGTAGCTGAAAGCCACACTGGTTTCTTACTGAGTGCTGCCACCCTGTTGTTTTAGTGTTTTTAAATTAATGGAGCTATGAAGTATGTTTCCTTTTAGAGACAAGAAAACACTGGCGCTCCTTTTTGTTTATGGAAAAAAAGCGACATCTATTTCAAAAGTAGAGTTTCCATTCCAACTGCATTATCAGAGCACAATAATTTGCATGATTTTGGAAAATCATGCACGATTTCTTTCTCCTCCTCACTATATCTCTAAATCTCCCAAATGATTGTTTCCTTTGACCCTATTAACAACAGAGGAAGTTATAGGAAAGACTGAGTTCTACTCTTGACATTTTACCCATTCAGCTACTATAGTCTTACTTGATGGGAGCAGAAAGATGCTAAGAAAATTTGATTAAATCCTAGTATTAGGCATGAACTCATTAGGCTTCCTCCACTGCATTCTTAAGAAAGAGCCACTATTTCCATTTTATATTAAGGACAATAAAGCCTAGGTAAACTTTAGGACTTTGCCCTAACACTTCAAAGGCAAACCTCAGCTTTTACTCAAAGATTGCTGCTAAATCTAAGTCTCAGTTTGCATGTAAAAGAGATAAACCAACAGCCAAAAATTAATGATCATCCTGAAAGGGAATTTATCACTTAAATAAGGAAACAGAGAAATCTGACAAAATACATGGTGTCCCCCCATAAATGCGTACACAGTTTAATAACTGATAGCTCAATTATGAAAATGAAATGTATTTTAATAAACACTGCCTTTATAATTATTCAAAGTATGTGTATATATTTTTGGGGACACTCTATATTTGGCATAACTCAATAACTATATTTTAGAGACAAGCTCCAGATTAGCTCTCCTTTCTCTATGCCCCTTTCATTAACAATCAATCTCAAAATGGTTAGAAGCATCCATATTATGTCTATAATTTAGTAAAGCAATTAAAATGCAGGAAGAAAAATTAAAAGTGTTCAGGAAAGAAGAGAATTAGTTTTTATTATTCTGGTCACTGTTCTGAATGATAATTATCAAATATAGCTAAATTTGAAAAGGAGCTATTTAATTTTATGAAATATAACATTTGAAGCTTTGCATATTAACTGAGAACAAAAATATATTTGCTAATGTAAGAGATGAAGTAATTATTTCAGGAATTAGAATGGAATGTTTCTCTACACCCAGCTGCAGAATTGGCCAAAGAACATACACATCTACATTTTATCAATAAAATACAGTTAAAGGCAGGACACTACATTTGCTGAGCTAGATTATATAAGAAAGATGACACTGCTCTTTCAAAAGCTGTCTCTACTGTGTTTAAAAGATTCACAGATTAAACTAGCCAGAGCCAATTAAGTGATTTTATAGAGATGACAGACCATAAGATTTTCTTCACACTGTATGATGTTTTCACTATCTTTCTATACAAAACGGAAGCAAAAATGATACTGACAGCTTGGTTTTCAGTTATTGTCAAAGGCACAATCTTGCTTTTTAAACTTTCAAATATTCCTCTTGCAGAGTAGTTGATAGCAAGCCTGGTTACCCACAAAAACCACCTCCTGTAGTCTCGAGCTAATAAGTTTTAGTATTGAATGAGTACCTCTTTCCATTTATATGACACAGCTCAATTTAATACATCAGTTTATCTGGAGTCATCTTTGAATGAAATTTAAGCCTTGTTCTAGTTTTTCTTCTTCCTTTAGGTTTCACTACTCTGTAACAGATTTAAAACTCAAAGGAATTTAAATTTCCTAGTTCATGAACATATTGTAAATTTTAACATTATGTTTGAGTTGACACAGTCCTGGGATGCCATCTAGTCTGTCCCCTAGATTTGAGAGATGAGGAATCTCTAAACCCAGAGAGGTGAGTGATTTCCCCAAGTCACAGAGCTCATCAGAGGAAAAGTCCAGACCGCAGCCACTTTGTTTCTGACTCTCAGGCAGGGTTCTTTAAAAACTTGTGATAAATTTCATAAAATGGAAGTGACTAATGTCATCTTCACCCTAAGCTTTTGAGATTTAGAACCATTTTATTGAACTCAAAGTTTTGCTCTCCTGAGCCACACTATCAGGTAAAAACTGGTTTTAAAATACTAAATAACTGAAGTTCAAAATGTGCCCTCTCTTTGTGCCAATATTTACTAGTTTATTGTTCCTTTTAGTGAAAAGATACAGAATGCAATAATCATACAAAATGCAAGCATGAATGAAGTGCTATTTAAAGAAAAATCACCAATGCAAATGGAGACGTACAACTTTATGTATAAAACATGTTTGGCAGGACACAACCACATCTTTCCTGCTTATCATCTTCGGTCTTTCATTAGTGCATACTGTCTCTGGAGTAAGAACACAGGCAGATACACATTCCTCATTAATAAATGAGCTGTGTTAGAAAAGCTTACTGTAAGTCAGTCAGTTGGCCCCTAAACATACTTCAGTGGGAGGTGCAAAACACATTTAGAGGTCAAGTTCTCTATTCTACAAGTAAGGTCAAGTGTAGGTGTGTGTACAAACCAGTACCCTAAGGAGGGTGTTAGATCAGTGGTTCTTAATTGGGAGTGACTTTGTACTCCAAGGGGCACTAGGCAATGCTGAAGCGTTTGGGGTGGTGACATCTGTGGGGTGCTATTGGCAACTACTAGTGGGACTGGAGACATTTTTGGTTTTTACAAACTGAAGGGGTAGGGTTGGGGAAGTTGTTACTACATCCAATGGTTAGAGGCCAAGGATGCTGCTAAACATCCTGACACCCTCACAACAAAGAACTATCCAGTCCTAACGCCAATAGTGCCCAGGCTGAGAAACCCTGGGATAGGCAAATGAAGGACGGGAAGACTTCCTACTCCTAAGTCCCAGGGCAGCCTGGAAAAGAATTCTGAAACTCAGGAAGTTTGGGCTGGCCACCCTTTCCCTTTCTCCCCTTGGACATTTCTTTTTTTGCTTCTGCCACTGAGGCCTAAATGCTGACCCCTCTATGGAACTTTTGTGCGGGGCTCTCTTTGCTGACAATACAGCTCTCCTCTGCCCCATTTGCATGTTCATAGTTACTTAACTTACTGAATAGCCTCATCTTCAATTACCATTTCTTCAGCATTTTCCCACAGCCATAACCTCATGGGGAGACAAGGAGAGATTATTTGGTTGGTGGAAGTGGACAGTGGAGATGGTAATTCTCTTCATAAAAAAAAAACTGTAGAAAAACTGCTTTATGCTGTCACCTGTCCTTGAATAGCTATTTTGTGTGTAATTTAATCAAGTTTCTCTGAGTCAGTTCCTTCTCACATATTTTATATAGTAGTCACAAAAACAAGCCAGCATATAAAATGTGTACCAGATACCCTCCACAAGAGTCCTTGAACTTTAGGATATTTAGAACAATGAAATACTAATGAGTACATATCTCTTTTAGTGTTTCATATATAAACCACCTGCTCTATGAATTTCCAGGCCACCCTTTGCCTGCCTGGTTAGCTTGTGTAGTCAATTTATAGAAAATACGAACTAATTTTAATATAAAACCTAAGCAAACAATCATTTGAAAGACAAACCTGCTTTTCCAAAATGTCAAGCAATAAAGGCACAACTATGGGGACAGTAAAAAGATCAGTGGTTGCCAAGGATTAGGGAGGAACAAAGGGATGAAAGGCAGAGCACCGAGGATTCTTACGGCAGTGAAACTATTTTGTAGGATACCGTTATGTCATTATACTTTTTCCAAACCCATAGAATGTACAGCACCAAGAATGAACCCTAAAGTAATGTGTGGACTCTGGGCAATCACTGATGTGTCAATGTACGTTCATCAATGGTAACAAATGTACCACGTTAGTGAGGGATGTTGATAATGAGGAAGGCCATGCATGTGTAAGGGCAGGGGGGATACTGAGGATCTCTGTACCTTCCTCTCAGTTTTGCTGTGAACCTAAAAGTGTTTTAAAAAATAAAGTCTTGTCTGGGCGAGCGTGGTTCAATGGTTGAGTGTCGACCTATGAACTACGAAGTCACTGTTCGATTCCCGATTGCTCAGGGCACATGCCTGGGTTGCGGGCTTGGTCCCCAGTTGGGGGTGTGTAGCAGGCAGCCGATCAATGATTGTCTCTCATTGATAGAAATGTCTCACAGTTTCTATCTCTCTCTCTCCCTTCCTCTCTGAAATCATAAAAAATAAAGTGGGATACTCTGTGCCTTATATAGTGCTGATGATATGGTAGATCCTTAATATGAGATGATGTATTTGTTGACCTGCCCTTATTAAAATGACACATCTTAATCCATTCAGATTCTTCCTGT